CTCAAGAGACATGATTGCTTTATATTATAAATAGGGTTAATGTAGACTTTTATACAAACACTGATATAACATCAACATACCTGATATCAACATACATAGAGCTCAACAAATAAGTTTAGCAGAAGCTCAAACAGCTCATAAACAATAGGATGAAGCTTTAAATAATAATATGATTTCAGAACAAAACAAACAAACAAACGTCTTAGACACGGTTGCGCCACTCAAGGCACAAAGTTTTAAACCAACAACTGAACCCTGGCGAGACGATATAATACACTCTCTTAGGCTGATTTCTTAAAGAGCAGAGCGCAAATGGAAAAGAGACAAACTTCAGGTCTCTTTTGAAATGTTAAGATCGCTAAAAGTAGCCAAATCAAGGTGTTTTACCGAAATTATTAAGAAGAACTAATAATAATAATAATTAACAATTCATTACATTTACATGCCGCTTTTCTCGGCACTCAAAGCATTTTACATAGAAGGGTGAGTGTCCTCAACCACCACCAGTGTGCAGCATCCACCTGGATGATGCAACGGCAGCCATATTGCGCCAGAACGCCCACCACACACCAGTTTACTGGTGGAGAGGAGACAGTGATGAAGCCAATTGGTATATCTATTTTTGGGGATTATTTGGAGGCCATGGCCAAATTTGGCCAGGATGCTGTGGTTAAACCCCTACTCTTTCGAAAGACATCCTGCGATTTTTTTTTTTTTTTTTTTTTTTTTTTTTTTTTTTTTTTTTTTTGTGATAACAGAGTCAGGGCCTCAGTTTAACGTCTCATCCGAAGGACGGGCTGTCATAAACGGTCATAAACCCAAAACGTTTTAAAAATTATTAACGCCACTATCAACCCTTCGATCTGCTCTTTCTCTGATGTTGTCTTCATCTATGTGTGAGGACTGTTTAAAGTTTTTTGTTAGTAAGATAAATGATTTAAGATTAGGAATTATTCAATCTCCTTCAATACACCATAGCTGTACGGATGTTTTTAGTCGATTTAACCAAATTACTGGCACTCAGCTTCAAGAAAGAGTAGAGCACTTTAGACCTTCCAGCACTTCTGCTGATGTTATTCCTCCATCTTTTCTCAAACAATTTGATGATGTTCGTTCTCCTCTTCTGGTCATGTTAAATCATTGTTTAGAAACTGGTATTATACCTGAACCACTAAAACATGCATCAGTCTACCCCTTGCTTAAAAGTAACCCTTGCCCACAGTGTTAGCCAATTTTAGATCAAGCACCAATTTTTAATTTATGACTAAAATTTTGGAGAAAATAGTCCTGCAACAACTACAAAGCTTCCTAACGGATAATACGATTTTTGAAAATCTTCAATCTGGGTTTAGAAAACATCATTTGACAGAGACTGCATTGCTGAAGGTTTTAAAGGAGCATTTCACCCATTTCAACATTAATGTTTATTGAAAGAATCATATATGTAGTCGAACTATAAAAGAATTTTTGAATTTGGTGCCCTCTTGACCGAGAAAAGACCCGAAGGGTGCATTTGTATGAAAGACTACAACACCCACAATGCACCACATAGCACAGCTCAGCAAGCCACACCCACTAATCTGGAACTGTGCGCACATCAGAGAAATCATTCTTTCGTCAACAAGGCTAACGTTAGCTGCCACCAGAGTTTGAAATTCATTTCACACAAAATGTCTAGTTAGTTGGCTGTGGCGAGCAGGGCGAGGGACGTGAGAGGACGGTGCGAGAGGACAGCGCGAGGGATAATGAAAGACAAAAGACACAACTGGTCGTGTATCTCTCACAGAGGAGCGGGAGCATAAACGGCAGCATGATTGATGACATCAGCTGTCCATGAGGGGCTGTTGGCTTATACTTTCGTTTTGTAGGTGTTCATTTTACTGTTAAAATGTTTAAATGTTTGCCGATTCCCGCCTCTTTCTTCCCACAACAATAAACCCTCTTAACGTTACATTGGCAGACTCATTAGTGAATTACTCCTCGTTTGTATTTCTTTCTAAATGGTGAATTAATTAATGCATGATACCTGTTCAGTCAGGCGAAACTATGATGGTTCACATCACAACACAAACGTCCGTGTGCTCGTCTGATTCAGAGATTTCATCTAGGAGAAATTACCATTGTTGAAATTCTCTGCAGCAGACAGACTCATAGGCCGTAGCCAGTCAGGGCTCCTCGACCGTCAGCCGGCCGCCTCCTGCTCCTCCATCAGCCTCAGCTGCTCTTCACTTACTTATATTGCGGCTCGTAAAGATAGCCATAAACATTGGATTCGAGCAGCAGACTTTCAGAATCCTCTTCTTCCATATCATGTTTAGTTTCTTCAGTCATTGTCATACTTCCTATCTCCACAGCGCTTGTTCGCTTAGCATCCAAAAACAAGATGGCGGATATTGATTTAAATTTCTGCAAGTGAAGTCCCACCCACTGATCTGTAATAGGCCTGTAGGTTGAGTGGATCCCACACCATTGAATTATGAGGAGCTAAGTTTGTAGTCTCTGTCATTTCTATCAAATATGACTTGCTTATTATGACGCAAAATGACGATTTTTACGTCATAATAAACAGGTAGTAAAACACTTAAATCCTTATTTCTCCCATCTCAGGAGAAAATAAGGGAAAAACCATGACCATTCAAAAATATGACTGAGTTTCTAAAGACATAAAGCTTAATGTAAATGGGTGAATTGTCCCTTTAAGTGATGTATTAATAACCTGTGATTCTGGCGACTATGTGGTTCTTGTGCTTTTAGATTTAACTGTTGCATTTGACACAATAGATACGTATTACCTGATTGGACAGTGCACAGGCATTACCAATGCAGTGCATTGGACTGGTGTATATCTTAGTTTACTAACAGAAGCTTCTCTGTGAAGATTGGATAATATACATCTATAAGGCTGTGTTATTGTTACGTAGAGGAAGTGGCTGAAGCAAGGAGGAAGCAGAATCCAAATGTAGCTTACTTTATTTAAACAAACTCAAATTTATACAAAGACTTGGAAACAGGACTCGGGAACAGCACAACCAACTTCAGTGTAACAACGACAAGAACTCACACAAGGACTGAACTAAAATACAAGGGCAAGCTAAACAAGATAACAAGGGGGCGTGGCTAATCTGAAACACCTGGGGAGACGAATAAACATAACAGGGAACTGCTAAACATGAAAATACGTGAACACAGACTTACATCACAACAGTTATTGTGTGGGGTTCCTCAAGGGTCTATTTTGGCTCCCATTCTCTTTACTATATAGATGCTTCTACTAGGTTTTATTATTAGAAAACATGGGCTGTCATTCCATTTTTACATGAATGACACTCAAATGGGCTATATGCACGCATAAATTCCGCATTTGACGCAAGGATGCTCGTCCATTTCCGGTTGTGGAGATTAAAGCGGAGGAAAACCGAGGAAAACGGGATTATGGCAGAGTCTTCAAAATGTATGTCCTACCGTCTTTGAAATGAAACGTACGTTTAGATGTAATTTTATATATGAAGAGTTCAGATGCAAAAGCCTCTAAATGACATTTGAAATTTTCTTCTTTAATGATGATTTTTATCAAACTTGTATATTTAAGTTCAGTAATTTCACTTAAATAACAATTAATAGGTAATTATCATTGCCATTTAAGTGAAATTACTGAACTTAAATATACAAGCTTGATAAAAATCATCATTAAAGAAGAAAATTTCAAATGGCATTTAGAGGCTTTTGCATCTGAACTCTTCATATAGTTATTTTTATTTAATATAATTTTAAAAAGAAGCATAAACACAACGAGGGGTGTCTGTTTTATCTGTTTTTGTGACTAACGTTTCTTTAGTATAACCATGGAGTATAAAATTCAATACAAATTCTCGGTATTGCATTGGACTCTACGATCGGCGGAAGTTATCGAGCATCCCTAATGCTTCACCGGAAATACCGCCGTGCATAGAGCCCATTTATCTCCCCTTAAAACGCTCGTCAAATAGTCTGGAAATTCGTATTGCCTGTTTGATTGAAGTAAACACCAGGTTGTCTTCAAACTTTCAGAATTTTAATTAGAGCAAAACGGAAATTATTTTATTTAAGTAGACCCTCCGACTCCTCCACCCTTCCTGAAGCAGATTTTGGTGGTCTGTCTTCTTGTGAGAAATTTGGGTGTAGTATTTGATGAATCTTTGAAATTTGAGAGACAAATACATTTAGTAGTGAAATCCTGCTTTTTTTCAGCCAAGACTACTATACATAAAATTAAAAAAAGAAGTAATACATGCATTTCTTTTTTCAAGGCTCATCTTCAATGTCACAATCAGCTAGGCTTCTGACGGGTGCAAAAAACAAACAAACAAAAAACAAACAAACAGAATCATATCACACCAATTCTACATTCCTTACACTGGTTGCCAGTTCGTTATAGACTGGAGACTTTTACTTTTCGTGTACAAATCTTTAAATAGTCAGTATTTAAAGATTTGTACACGAAGTACTAAGAAAATAGTCTGATTTTCTTACTAAAAATCAGTAAGAGGTAAAGTTGAATCTCAGAGATTTGAATTGATTCCCTTGACAAGTAAGTGCTTTGGCTCTGTGGTGCTCTCAAAACACCAGTGGAAGACCGAAAACAGGAACTTGGGAATTTTAAATGTCATACAGTTTTGTAATTCATAGAGTGGCACATAAATTACACACTTCAAGCTTTAAGTACTGACCTGTGGATTGCTCCAAGCTATAAAGAACCAAAGCCTTACTTATCAGGCAACTCAACTGCACTCTTGCCAAAATACTTTTTGATCTGCAGTCAGTGCCGGTCTTGAATTAATATTAAGACATTAATATTAAGACACGAGTTCTGCTCTTCTAAATGTCTTAAATGTCTGCTGAAAAATACTTAAAATTGAACTTAATGTGCAGCAGTCTGTTGGTAATGGAATGTCACATTCGGCTATTTAAACCTAGATCAAATTATAACATTATTGAAATATCTTTTTTTTTTCTCTCTCTAGGCATTGTGTCACTTATCTCCCTGGCAGTGCTATCATATGAACGCTACTGCACAATGATGGGCTCCACAGAAGCTGATGCCACCAACTACAGGAAGGTGGCCTGTGGGGTGGTGATGTCCTGGGTTTACTCTTTAATCTGGACTCTGCCCCCTCTATTTGGTTGGAGCCGCTATGGCCCAGAAGGCCCTGGAACCACCTGCTCTGTAGACTGGACAACCAAGACCGCCAATAACATTTCTTACATCATCTGCCTCTTCATTTTTTGCCTGATTATCCCCTTCCTGGTCATTATTTTCTGCTATGGTAAGCTGCTGCATGCCATTAAACAGGTGAGTGAGACTCTCCACTGTCATTGTTTTTTTTAATCAGTTTTTCTGCTAAAATTTTATGCATTTATCCTTAGGATTTCAGTATTTGATTAAGGTTAGGTTGTTTGTTATTTAGCAGCTGCTTATAGTCCACCTGGGGTTATGTTCCTTGTGGAAGGGCACAATGCTGGTAGGGGATCTCAATAACTTTCCAGTTGTGGATGCCAGCCAAGACCCCTAAAGGAAAAGTTTACCCCAAAATCTTCTTGCTCAACATATCTTTTTGCATCAATCAAGCTATGAAAAACACAACACCATAAAAGCACCATAAAAGTGGTCCATATGACGTATCACAGTGGTTTAATTGCTTTGGATTTTTTTTTTTTTTTTGTATCAGTACTTAACAATGTCTCCAAAATGGATTAAAAAAAATGGTGCAAATGGCTTTAGTTGTTGCATGTCTTGTAACCAGTTTCGTAAAGGTGTGCCAGTTTGATGTCAAATGGAAACATTTTAAAAGATACAGCAGATAGGAAGATTAAATACCTTTCTGTTTTTCATTTTTTCATTGAAAGTTTTTTCATGGTTTCAGTTTACTTGGAATATTGGTTTCCACTAAAGCTACTTTCTGCCATAAATATATATATATATATACAGTATATATATATATGTGTGTGTGTGTGTGTGTGTGTATATATATATATATATATATATGCTTATAATATTAAGCATATATGCATAATCTCATTTGGTTGCCTTTATTTATGATTTCACTGGAATGAAAATCACTCTGAAGAAATTATATGCAAATTGTGTGCGTACCGATCACTGGCCCACAGAGGGAAAGATAATAGTGTGACACATGGATTTTAACTGCTGGTAAAAGTAGTAAAACAACTTATTATAAATTAATGCATTCGCCTTTTTCAGCAAACATGAAGCGTGGATTTAGAGTGCATTAAGGGAACTGAGCTTTGGCATTTTTCAGACCTGAGGCAGTCTTGCGCATTTACTTCCCGATGCTTGCATGCGCTCTCAAGTGGCCAAGACCCCAAGTGTGGGTATTGAGACAGGACCTATTAGAAGCTTCCAGACAGGTGTGTTGGAGAAGGTTGAAGTTGAACTGCACAGGAAGCTTGTCTTCCAAACAGCAGGAATAGACCCTGATAAAACAAATGTCACAATGAAATCATTGACACCCAAGTGGAAATCCCAGGTCAAAATGCTTCACTTTACAAGTTTCAAGTTCAAGTTTACTTTATTTATATAGCACATTTAACACAGTCGCAGACTGACCAAAGTGCTTCACAACAAAAGAAACAAAGGAAGAAAAAGAATAACATATAATTACATAAAAATAAAGATAAAAATCAAGTGAGCACAGTCCACTCTCAAGCAGGCAGTGACTGTTCCGTCAGATTTCCAGAGAACAAATAAACAATCCTAAAATGCCTAATATGCCAGAGAAAACAAATGGGTTTTTAAAAGATCGATCGACCGATTACTGAGAAGGCACGGTCACCTCTGCATTTAAGTCTCGAATGTGGAATTAGAAGAAGATTCTGATCTCCAGATCTTAAGTTTCTAGAGGGGATATACTGATGCAGCAGGTCAGAAAGGTAGCTAGGTGCTTGAGAGTGCAAGGATTTAAAAACAAACAGAAGAATTTTAAAATGAATTCTAAATTGCACTGGCAGCCAATGCAGGGTCTTTAATAGTGGAGTGACGTGATCCCTTTTCTTCTTTTTCAAAAGAAATCTTGAGGCAGCATTTTGCACTAACTGGAGACGGGCAATTTGGGCCTTAGAAATGCCACAGTATAACGAATTGCAGTAGTCTAGACGGGACGTAATAAACGCATGCACTGCCATTTCCAAGGTCTTATCATCAAGGAAATGTTTAATTTTTGAAAGTAGACGGAGCTGATAAACTGGACCCAATTACTGAAGAAATTTGTTTATCGAATTTTAAAGAGTCATCCAGGATAACACCCAGATTCCGTGCCTGCGAGGACCTAAAAGCCGATAGTGGCCCCAGATCAAGGTTAAATGTAGTCGAATTTTCAGAAGGGCCAAAAACAATTACTTCAGTTTTATCATTATTTAAGGATAAACATTTTTGAGATAACCAGGATTTAACCTCATCTAGACAAGAGGAGAGAGCAGACATGGCCAACCGATCATTTTTCCTGAGAGGTAAATAGATTTGGGTATCATCGGCGTAAAGATGATATGACGCCCCATGTTTTCTAAAAATAGACCCCAGAGGGAGCATATATAAAGAAAACAGAGAGGGGGCCAAAATCGAGCCTTGAGGAAGGCCACATGGGAGAGGAGCAGGAGAAGATAAAAATTCACCTGTCCTAACCACAAATTTCCTATCAGATAAAAATGACTGGAACCATTTTAGCACTGTCCCACCCAAGATAACTGAATGATTAACGGTGTCGAAAGCAGATGAAAGATCTAAAAGAGCAAGGACCACAGAGCTACCTGTGTCAGTTGACAAATAAATGTCATTTAACACTCTCAGAAGGGCTGTTTCAGTTCTATGTGCAGTTTTTTGCGGCCAGGAAGGATTGAAGTTGAAAGAACACAATCTTTTCCAAAACCTTGGAAATAAAAGGTAAAACAGAGATAGGACGATAATTTTTCAAGATCGACGGATCAAGTGAAGGCTTCTTTAAGAGAGGTAGGACAGTTGCCACTTTCAAATAAGCAGGGACCACCCCAGCCCGATTTGGCGGCTCTCTGATAAGCCAGTAAGCTATCTTTAAATAACTGATGTGAAATGTGGAGATTGTCCTTTTTATATTTACGTTCAGCTTTTCTACAAGCTTGCCGAAGCACCCGAGTCTCAGCGGTACACCACAGTTCAGATTTAGCTTTGTGCTTAAAGGACAAGTTCGGTATTTTACAATTAAAGCCCTGTTTTAAGATCGTCCCTGATGAAATAGAATGGTTAAGATTGTTTTTTAGACAGATGCTCCTGTCACAAGAATTTTTGGATTCTGTGTTAGCACCCCCCCCACCTTTATAATGAAAGCATAAGTGCACTCGAACAATCATTCATTAAAACGCATAAAACTTTAATTTACAAAGACGTGAAACTCACCGAGTGGTCTGGGGTGTTCACTGATATGCTCACACAAAAATCGCTGCAAAATATGCTTTCCAACAGGTTTTATCATAGTTTACTTGGTTTACTTATTGTGAAATAAGTTGAACAAGTGTCTAAGAACATTGGGTCAGCCTAACTGTGACAGATTTTTTTATTTATCTTTTATGTTCTGCTGTATTTACTTGAATATAAATTTGTTTTCAAGCCATCCCACAAGTTTACTTATCCAACTGGAAAAGTCGAAGGAAAACTCAATATATATTTTTGTTCAGTCTCTCTGTCTTTCTTTGGCTCTTTTTCTGCACTCAATAGTTGTCACTTTGTAGAATCTTTTAAGTGGCTTGTCCAATTTAGTGAAAGCTTCTGTTGATACTGTATTAGCATTCTCTTTACTATTGCATCATAATCGCTAGTGTCGTTCTTTCACAGATGAAGACGGTCTGACTTCACAAAGCACATGCATGAATAACAGCTCAAGATTCCTGTAGTTACAGGCAAAAGTAGCACTCCTTGGATATTTTATCTATTTATTTAGCTAATTTACATACATCTGGACTCTCTAGACAAATACTGCAGTAGCATTCCTTGGATATTTTATCTTTTTATTTAGCTAATTTACATACACCTGGACTCTCTTGACAAATACTGCAGTGTGCTCCATTGTTGCAGAGAGCACACTAATAAATCAAACTAGCTAATGGTGTTGAATTCCCGATTTAATAAAGGGATCTTCTTTTGACTGTATGATGCAGTGAGAGTAAAATCAATGAATCTGCTTTAAATTAGATGACCAATCCTTTCTCTGGCTTTTCACGGATGAATAATTCCTTATGGAAGAAGTTGGAAGTGGAAGTCCTGAAGATATGTTATGAGCTCAGGACAGCTGTTACTCCTGGAATAAGATGCTCTGAATTACGTATTTTATAGTCCCAAAATTAGACTATTTGCCAAATTCAGGGAAAATCTTGTCATTAGTTTGGAGTTTGTTGATTACTATAAGTTTGGATGCAACTTGTTTTGCTTGTATGTGCTAGCTGTTTATGTTAAATTCACAAGAATTGTTGAATGCACTCAGAATGCTGTGTTTGATGTGTGAGAGAAATGTGAAAATACACTTCGTACTTTGATTAGAGAGGTCAGCTGGCTGCTGTTGATGTTTGTGCTCTGAAACCCAAGTAGAAAAACTGTGTGGGTTCACTCTTGTTTTGTTTCTCACTTTCCTTCTTCTTGAAGGGGAAATGTGGCTTCTCTTCAGTTTTATATATCCTTATAACTTTTACATCTTGACAGATGTACTGTATGTTTACATCTTAAGCAGATGGAATAACTCTCAGCTATGTATTGCTGCTTCTAACAGGCATTTGAAATACAAGCTCTAAATCACTGATTATCACAAACTGCTATGAATATCCAAATGCAGTTTTATTGGGGCAATCCAAAATCATGATTCATGTAACTGGCAAAGGCTTAATATCAAGGCAAATAGTGACAGTCAAAGAAATGGGATCAAGACCATAAACATAAACCATAACAAGGGAAACAGGAGAGTGCACTCAGTAATGCAGTGTGAGAGTAGCAAGACTTCACAAAGAGTGAAATCACATGATAATGAATCCAGGCAAAGCGAAATGTAGTTCATGATAAAATGGCAAAAGACCAGGGAGGAGTGCCCTCTGGTTGTATGTTCAAATAAGATTTTTAGACTATTTAAACTACAAACTACATCTGTCCAGTTCCTGAAGAGGCTAGCCATGCTCTTACAGACACTTTGGAAAAAATTCAGGTACCTAAGCTCTGGACACTCGGTGAGGCCTACTTTGTACCTAAAGGACAGAACTCTACAGGACTCGAAGATTTCCGAGAGATCTCCTTATTGGACGTCGAGGGGAAAATATTCTGGT